TATAATAATAATAATAATAATTAATAATAATAATAATAATAATAATAAATAATAATAATAATAATAATAATAATAATATAATAATAATAATAATAATAATAATATAATAATAATAATAATAATAATAATAATAATAATAAATAATAATAATAATAATAATAATAATAATAATAATAATAATAATAATAATAATAATAATAATAATAATAATAATAATAATAATATAATAATAATAATAATAATAATAATAATAATAATAATAATAATAATAATAATAATAATAATAATAATAATAATAATAATAATAATAATAATAATAATAATAATAATAATAATAATAATAATAATAATAATAATAATAATAATAATAATAATAATAATAATAATAATAATAATAATAATAATAATAATAATAATAATAATAATAATAATAATAATAATAATAATAATAATAATAATAATAATAATAATAATAATAATAATAATAATAATAATAATAATAATAATAATAATAATAATAATAATAAATAATAATAATAATAATAATAATAATAATAATAATAATAATAATAATAATAATAATAATAATAATAATAATAATAATAATAATAATAATAATAATAATAATAATAATATAATAATAATAATAATAATAATAATAATAATAATAATAATAATAATAATAATAATAATAATAATAATAATAATAATAATAATAATAATAATAATAATAATAATAATAATAATAATAATAATAATAATAATAATAATAATAATATATAATAATAATAATAATAATAATATAATAATAATAATTAATAATAATAATAATAATAATAATAATAATAATAATAATAATAATAATAATAATAATAATAATAATAATAATAATAATAATAATAATAATAATAATAATAATAATAATAATAATAATAATAATAATAATAATAATAATAATATATTAAATATTTAATTTAACTAGTACAATGGTGATTTCAAGTTGAAGTGGCTTTTGATTCCTTTAAAATGATTGAAGAATAAAGTGCCTCAATTATCAAAGGTTGATATTTCAACGGTCCCTATGTAATTTGTGATTATAAGGGAAAGATAAAAAATGTCTTTTTAGAAAAAGGTTTCTCTGTCTTCTCTCTAGAGTTGGGGATAATGTTCGGCAGTCAAAAGTGGTTGGTGTCTAAGAAAAGGACGTTTTGGAATTTGGGTTTCTGGTGTGATATCTTTCCTGTCAGTAAGGATTCGTGTGGAGAAAATATTCAGGGGTTAACAACGATTTTCTTCTCCGAGATTTAAGATTCTACAAAGGCGAAAGATATTTTCGATCTTTTCGAGTGTAATGGGGAGGTGGTGGAAGTGGTGATACTAGCTAGGAGGAACAAATTCATAAAACGTTATGGTTTTGTTAGATTCATCAATGTTGAAGATGCTAGGTTTCTTGCCATCAAACTTTACAACATCATCATCTTGGGAAGAAAAATACATGTAAATCTCCCTTGGTTTGAAAGGGGATTAGGCTTTGGAAGCATGGTCAAGTTCGGTGAGAGGCATTTTGAGGGAACTTCTAAGCCGGGGATCCAACCTAGGGAAGGAGGTAACGCTACGATGAGAGGAGCTAGAACTTTTACGGAAGTTTTGGGAATGAGGAATCAACTGGATGTTGTGAAGGAGATAGTGGAGGTGAGGTATGTGACTAGTGAGGCTGATAAGGGGAGATTCTTTAAGGCCTTTGTAGGGGAAATGATTATTCCTGGGTCAGCATACTACATTCAAAATTCGTTTGAATTGGAAGGCTATTTCAAAGTGAAAGTCACGTCGTTAGGGGCGAATCTGTGTCTCTTGGAAGAAGTAGAGAACAGATAAAATTGAAGTTCTTATTACAGACAGTGGAGTTTTGGTGGAAGCAGCGGTTCTCCACTATCAGAAAGTGGAAAGAAGAAGATGTTGATAAGGAGCGTGTTCTTTGGTTTAGAGCATATGGCATTCCTTGCCATGCCTAGAATGGTGGTTTTTTCAATATCCTGGGTAATTCTTTAGGCTCTTTCATTTGCACTGATGAAAACACTTCAAATGGGTCAAACATGGACGTAGCTAGGATCATCATCAGAGATCAATGTACCTTTATTTTGGCTGATGACATTCTTGTTGAGATTGACGGTTCGCACTTTCGTATTCTGTTACCGGAGGATACGTTTATTTAGTTGAGGGTGGCTAAGTCTGTGGATAATCAGAGTTTGGTGCAGTTTGAGTCTTCTTCATCGGAAGATGGATGGTCTGAGGATTATTCGGTGGATAATAGAGAAGACATGTTTGAGGTTCCCGATACCATAGAAGATTGTTCATCCCAAGACGATTTGGCTATTTTGGGGATCAAGGATATTAATAATAAGGCGAACAGGAGGATGTAACAGGAAAAAAAGGATTTAGTAGTTAACTCTATGCGCAGGTCAGATGAGGTGGTAGAAGATGGTGTTTTTGACAAGGCTTTAGTTAAGGTAAAGGATAATAATTATCAGAGTCCAATGTTAGTGGGTCCTTAGGAGGAACAATGGGTTCAATTAGCTCAAAAGGAACTAGGGTGGGGTGTTTGGTTGAATTTATCAACCAGCCCAAAGATCCTTTACACGTGGATATGAGGAAGTATATTAAATATTAAAGTTCAAAAACATGGTGGGATATGGTGGGCTTAGGAGTAAAAAAACAAAAAGGCTCATGAAGAAGAAAAAAGAAAAAGCAGAGGAAGAAAAAAGCCTATTGTTCGAATCCAGCTAATGTATCAGTAAGTTATACTGGAGGAGGCACGGAGAATAATTTGGGGGAATAAAGAAGAGGCAACAGTGATAACCAGGTCTGTTATGGGAACCACTCGGAAGATTATTTGATTTGCAAGAATAATCTTAGGCAGTGGGAAATTATGAGTAACAATGATGGTGATAAAATATAGAGGCTATAGAAGGTCTTGGGCTTGTGGCGACGAATTCCATGAAGAACTATAAGAGAAGGATTGAGGAAATAGAAAGAAGATACAAAACCAGAATGAAAGATGGAAGGCGAATAAAAGTGCTTTGTAATGATTATTGGTACTTTGAATATTAGAGGGGGTTGTAGCTTTTTGAAGAGGAGGAGAATTAGTGCTTTGATTAAGAAAGGGAATGCAAATATCTTTCTTGTTCAAGAAACAAAATTGTCAGAGGTGAAGGACTATATAGTGAACAATATGTGGAGTAAAGAAGATGTGGGTTATTCTTTTTCTAATTTCGTTGGGTTTTCCGGTGGGATTATCATCATGTGGAAGCAGAACTTTGTGAATGTTTTGGGGAGTTTTAAAGGCAGAGGATACTTGGGGGTAAAGGTGGAGTGGAAGGCTCACATTTATTATGTGGTAAGTGTTTATTCGCCCTGTGATTTGGTGTCTAAAAGATTTTTTTGGAAGGATTTGGTTGATTATAAAGATAGCCACGGGGATTGCGAGTGAATTATAAGTGGAGATTTCAATGCAGTCAAAAGTCAGAGGGAGAGAAAAAGTAGATCAAGGGAAGGTAGAACTTCATAGATGAGGGAGTTGGCCGATTTCATTGAAGAGAGCAATCTGGTTGATGTGTCGTGTAAAGGGAAAAGGTTTAGCTAGTATAGTGGGGATGGTAGGTAGATGAGTAGAATAGACCATTTTCTTGTGTCCGATATGGTGGTGAATAGATGGGGTTATTGGGCAGCTCATCGGTCTCAGATATTTGTGATCACTGTCCTATTTGGTTGGTGAAGGATTGTGCTAATTGAGGGCCTAAACCCTTCAATTTCAATAATGAATGGTTTGCTTTCGATTCGTTTATTCCTTTTGTTTCAAAAGAGCGGGAAGATTTGAAGGTAGAAGGCAGAGGTGATTTTTTTAAAGGAGAAATTTCGACTGCTTAAAGAGAGACTCAAATGGTGGAACTTGGAGGTGTTTGGGAGGAGAGGTTTAGAGATTGAGGAGGATGTGAGAGCATTAAATGAAGAGGATGAATCCTTACAATAGCTGATATGAAATGATTGAGTTAAACCAAACCCTAGTGTGATATTGATGTGATTGAGTTGATATGAAATGATAGAGGAATCTTAGGGGCAAAAATTGGGGAACAACAGTTGCTCTTATTTAAGTGTCTTCTATCCGGAGATACAAAGGTTAAAATCTTCGTGTCGACGCTATTGAAGATA